AGAAAGAAAGAAATGAAAAAACAGTGTTGGGATAGCAAAATTAGCTAATTTGGGAGTAGTTTGTTTTTGTTTTTATTTTGTTTGAGACAGGGTCTCTCTACATAGCCTCGACTGTCCTGGACCTCATTATGTATCTCTGCCTCCCTAGTGCTGGGATTAAAGGTGTGCAGTACTATGCCTGACTGTGGAAGAAAATTCTTACCCCATTAAAAGAAATTCAGAGGAGGGTCTGCAGAGATGGCTCCGTGATGAAAAGCACTTGCTGCTCTTTCATGGAACAAAGTACCCATAATGAGCCGTTCACAACTACCTTTAACTCAGACTCCAAGAGGATTCAACCTCTGCTCTGGCCTCTCCTGATAACTGCACTCACATGCAGACATGCACACATACATGGAATAAAAAATAAATAAATCTCTTTTTAATCCAAACAAATGTCTAATAGATTTAAATAGTTTCAGCTTTATTACTGGTAGGGGAAAGGCACTCATAACCCACAGGGCACACATGGAGGTCTAAGGACAGTCTTCAGGAGTCAGTCCTTCCTTCCACCATGGGTTCTAGGAAATAAATTCAGGTTATCAGGCTGTGTGACAAGTGCTTTTACTCCCTGAACGTCTCTCCAGCCCCAAATTAAATATTTAAAAATTTCATAAGTAGAAAAGATATGAAAATAAATGTTCATTAATCTCTAGGGGCAGAAAGACTTTCTAAGCTTAGGAAATATTTAAGAGCTCTAGATGTTGTGGTGAATGCCTATAACCCAGCACTCAGGAGCAGAGGCTACAAGTTTGAGGTCAGCCTAGTCCATATAGGAAGTTCCATGCCAGCCAGGGTTATATAAAGAGAGACCTTGTGTACCAGTCTCATTTCCGTTATTGTAACAAATACCTGACCGAAAGCAGCTTAGCAAAGAAAGGAGTTACAGGTTACAGTTCGTTGTGGTAGGAAAGTTAGAGTGGTAAGAGCTTGAAGCGGATAGTCACATCACATCCAGCTTTAGAATTTAGGCGGGTGGTCTGAATCTCAATGGGGCCTCCAGAAAATATTAATTCCACTGGTTGAGAGTAAGACTACTACCATAGTTTAAGTTCAAAATTGAAGCACGCTTAATTAAGTACTGGCCAAGTGTATGGACTCTGGCCAGGTCCATACTTGGGTTTCTGGGAAATGGCACAGATTCAAGAATGGCAAGGGCTTAAGAAGGAAAACTCAGCTGGGCGTTGGTGGCGCACACCTTTAATCCCAGCACTTGGGAGGCAGAGGCAGGCGAATCTCTGTGAGTTCGAGGCCATTCTGGTCTACAGAGTGAGTTCCAGGAAACTCTGTCTCGAAAATTTAAAAAAAAAAAAAAAAAAGAAGGAAAACCCATAATTCATTGCATTTCCAATCAGGGACAAGCATATATCCTGACATATTTCCTGCCTGTGAACCTTCCGCCCACATGTGAGCAAGCACATCTGGTGCAGATGGGTCAGCCGAACTTGTTTAGGAGAGTGAAAACCTGTGGCTGGCTTGTTATCTCCCATAAACAATAGCCTCCAGCATTTCAGGAACTATCTGTCCTTGGGCAAGGGGCTTGCAGATCAGAGCCAAGGGTCTCTAAGGCATTGTAATTAAAACTTAAAATTTGTCTCTCACATATGTTTCAAAACTAAATAAACAAGCAAACAAACAAACTGAGTTCTAAAGAAGGGCTGGAATGGCTCAGTGGTTGAAGTACTTGCCCAATCTGAGGCTGAGTGTGGTGGCATGGGCCTTTAATCTCAGCACTCTAGTTCAAGCACAGTTTGGTCTCTGTAGTGAGTTCTAGGTCAACCAGGGCTACCCTGACTCAAAAGAAAAAAAAAAATTAGACTACATATGTGATGGCATAACCTAGACTCTGTTCTGTTTAACTACACCACATTGTTAGGTTACTTTAACTTTACACTGAGTTTGTTCCCATGTTTTTGAGACCAGGTGGCACTGTGTAGCTCAGGCTGGGCTGCAACTTTATGTAGACCAGGCTGTCCTTTAAGTCACAAAGGTCAGCCTGCCTTTGCCACCTGGGTGCTGGTATTAAAGGAATGCCTCACCACACCCCACTCCATTAAATAATTTTTTAAAGAAACAAACCAACCATTATGCAATCAAACTCAATAAACATTTACTTTAGAACTAGTTTTTCTTCTTTTCGTGTGTGTGTATGTGTGTGTGTGTGTATGTGTGTGTGTGTGTGTGTTATGTGCATGTACGTGTGTTTGCATGTGTTTGGCACATGTGTATATGCAGATGTGCATGGGCATGCATGTGGAAGCCTGAGGTCTATAGAAAGTGTCTTGTTCAGTTCTTTCCTCATCTCTTATTTTTAGACAGGCTGTCACCATGTAACCCTGGCTGTCCTGGAATTCTGTGTTGACCACAAACTCACAGAGATCCGGCTGCCTCTGCCTCTCTGCTGCTGCCTCCTGCATGTTGGGATTAAAGGCTGAGCCCTCCTTAATCTTTTGAGGCAGGGTGTCTTGTTTTTTTGTTTTTTGTTTATTTGTTTTTTAATGCGGAATGCCATTTTTTAAAGGAGGGAAGAGGTCTTAAATACAGGCTTACAGCACAATGGGAGGACCCCAGAGAGCAGAAGTTCGCTACTGATGTTTTACAATCTTTCATCTAAGCTGTTAACGCCCATTATGCAGGATACACAGACAAGGAACTTCCCTTAAGCATTCAGGAGGGTGGAACCCGGCAGGAAATTAGCATATGGAGGATATCAAGGTCAAGGTCAGCAAGCAAGGCTACAGTTACCCAAAACAGGGGCCAGGACCCTACAGGTCCCCCTTTTACTAATAAATGAGCTTCTGACTTAGGTTGCGTGGGACATCAGCAGGTCACCTTACCCGTCATGGAGACGCCTGCCCAGGCTACACAGGCACTCTGTCTTAGGTTGGTGAGTGCCCCCCAGGCATTACCCGTCTTTGAATACTCATCATATAGGCTCCATCGTGTGTGAGCTGCAGAGTTAACTGCTGCCAAAGATCTCAAAGTGGCACTGGTCTTGCAATCTGTGTGTTCGACACAGAAAAGACCAACAGAGAAAAGACCAACAGAAGTCCTATCTTACCCATAGCCAGGAGGCTAAAGGCAACTGAGCCATTCCCTTCCTTAACGAGCCTTACAGCAAATTGGAGTCCTTGTAAGATGGTATCCCAAAAGCAAATGGAACTTAAGTTTATAAATCTATAATTTTCAAAGCCAATCAAATTGTATATAACTATTGAATTAAATTTATCATGCCCAAGAGAATGAAAGATTAACTGTGGTAGCTACTTTTACTGCCAGGGTCTCCACTGTGCTAGCTGTAGTAAGCAATTATGACATGGTAATCCCAGAAACAGTAGCAGCGGTGGCCGCCTCTGCTATAACAGCAATAACGGCAGCAGCAATGTCAAATTCTCTTCTGGAGTGTGTGGGCATCCACTGGCATGGATACAACTCCGGGAACACGAACCGCCAAGGCCCATTTTTCTTGATCCCAGCACGACTTAAGCTGGTAGCTCTGCAAAAGAACAACTAAGAACCATAAATAAAAAACAGGCAGCTCACAAGGAGCATAACTAATGATCTTATAATGGCTACATTTAGGCTCATAAATTTTAAGTATCTTCAAAGAGGGCTAAATGAATCTCAGGAGGCCAATAAATGTTGCACAGAGCCACTCCTGAAAAGTAGGTACTACACGAGCTTGAAGAAGATTTTGAAAATGAAAAGACTTAGCTGGCATGCTACTGTTAACAAATGGAGGTCAATGACCTTCATTCAGGGTTATCCTTAATCTCCAAGGTGTCTGGGTGACATGTTCTCAAACATGCTTGAAAAAGCAGTTACCATACATTACCTTCTGGAGAATCCAACCACATGGCTACAGTTCCTAGGCTTACATTAATGCTTGCCAAAGCTGGCCATATTGGGCTCTCAATCCCCATTGGCATCAGAAGGGGAGAGTTTTTCACGAAGGCCTAATAGGTCTCTGCCATGTTGGGCTTCAGCAGCAGCCACAGGGTTCACTCAGCACTCAGGAATCCAAAGAGGCACCTCATTGTCCTGAGGAAAGACATAAACAGAACCCCGGGCCCACACCAACACCAGATTGGGTCTCCTCCAAGTGCCAGTAGAAAGATCCTTCCATTGCTCCAGAGGGTGATTTTCAACAGGAGCCCTCCAGTGCTTATCGAGACAGGGTATCTTAATCACAGCCAGAGCTCATTGATACAGATCACCTTGCTAGCAGCTGGCTCCAAGGATCTGAACCTTCCAAGGCATTTATTGTGTAGGTTCCAAGACTCTAAACTCAAGTCCTCCCTTCTTTTTCTTCTATTCTCTTTTCTTTGCTTCATTTTTTGATACAAGGTCTGTCTGTGTGGCCTTGGCTGGCCTGGAACTCACAATGGTTTATTGAGGAAAGTACAATCTTAAAAAAAAATGTATGTATGTATTTGTTCATGTGTATGTGTGTTTTGTGTACATGTATGTTTGTGTACCACATATGTGCCTGATGCCTACAGAGGCCAGAAGATTTGGATCCCCTGGAACTGGAGTTGCAAATGGTTTGAGATACAAAGTAGGTACTGGGAATGGAGCTCGGGTCCTCTGGAAGTGCTCCTAACCGCTGAACTATCTCTAGTCCTAAGCATAGTCTTTTCAGCAAATGATATTAGAGAAGCCCTATATTCACACACCAGAAAAATGAAGTTGGACCCTTATACTAAGTACAAAAATGATTACTCAAAATGTATCAAAAACCTAAATATGAAAGCTAAAACAGTGAAACACTCTTAGAAGACACAGCAGGGAAGAAGCTTCATGACACTGGATTTTCACTGATTCCTTGGGTAGTACCCCAAAAGCACAGACAGCAGAAGAATAACTGCACAAATTGAACTTCATCAAAATAAAGCTTTCTGGGGATTGGGTATTTAGATCAGTGGTAGAGCGCTTGCCTAGCCAGCGCAAGGCCCTGGGTTTGGTCCTCAGCTCCGGGGGAATAAATAAATAAATAAATAAATAAATAAATAAATAAATAAATAAATAAATAAATAAATAAATAAATAAATAAATAAATAAAATTTAAAGAATAATAAAGTAATAAAGGTTTCTGGAGGCTAGAGAGATGGCTCAGTGGTTAAGAGCCACATGGTGGCTTTCAACCATCCATCACTCTACTCTAGTTCCAGGGGTTGTAAGGCTGTCTGTCTTCTGACCTCCTTAGACACCAGACACTCATGTGGTGTACAGACACAGACGCAAGCAAAACACACATAAAGGAAATACATAAATCTTAAAAACCATTACGTTTTCTAGATGATGACTCATGAATAAAAGCATTTGCAGTGCAAGCCTGATGACTAGACCAGACCTCATGGTGGGGAGAACCAGCTCCCCGAAGCCGCCATCTCTAGTCTCCAGATGTTCACTGTGGTGTGCATGCACCCATGTACACACACACACACAGATACACACGATGATTTTAGTTACATTTGTATTTATTTCCCGGGGGTGGGGTTTAATGTGAGGAAGTCAGAGACGGACTTGTGGGACTTGATCCTTTCCCTCCTCCATGTAGACCTCCAGGGATGAGCTCAGCTTGTCAAGCTTGGCAGCACACGTTCTACCAGCTGAGCCATCTCACTGGCTCATGTGATTTTTAAAAATAGTTATGCTACCTGAGTATGATGGCATATGCCTGCAATCCCAGCTCTTGAGAGGCTGAAGCAAGGGGCTCACCATGAGTTCCAGGCCAGTCTAGGCTCTATAGCAAAAACCTTTCCAAAAAGTAAAGATACATTTTAAAAGCTTCTGTACATCAGAGGAGACTCTGAAAAGAAGGAAAAGAAAAAAAAAAAAACACCAGATGACAGAAATCCTATATACGATAAGAAATTAACACCTTACCTGGGAAAAAGATAACACAAGCCTTAATCCCAGCCAGAGAACTAGAAACAGAACCATCAGAAATTCAGTGAACTGAGTTCAACCTGGACTTCATGAGACCATGTCTCAAATCTCCCCCCATCCTCCCTAAAACAGTACCTTAGAAGGAATTTTGAGATGACATTTTTAGTTTGGGAAAATATATATCTAAGTCGGTATGACAACACATGCCTCTGATCCCAGCTGTTTGGGA